AGCAAATAGGATGGTGGCATTTGTAAAGCAGATGCTCTTTCTCCCATCTTCTGCCCCGCTGTTTTGGGTTATCTGGCTTGAAATCAGTTCCTTCCTTTGGAGATGTTTGGGAATAGCCCACACATTGAATGTTATTTCTTTGCATTTCTGTTTGGAAATTGCTGTATTGCCCTTTGTTGCCATGATAGAGGAAAGCAAACATCTAAAATAAATTAGGGCTGCAACCCTGCAATAAACATTAATTTAATGCCGATTAAAGAAACATTAATCAACTAATCAGATGAACTTTTGTTGATTTAAGTTAAGTTAAATTTGCAGAGCAGTATTGCTGAAGCATTTTATTAGTTCACCAATAGTACAAACATGCAGCAAAGCAAGTAGTATTGTAGAAGAGGCATCTGTTCTGTATGAGAGAAAATGGAGACTGCTTTTAAGATGGTGTAGTATCACCTGCAGTATATGAATACTGATAAGTATATACGAGGAGAATAAGTGCTGCATTTTTGGTGCTTTAATCAGTTAGAGAAATCTATTATGCTTTGCCACATTAAAATAAATACATAAGTCAAGTGGCTAGGGTTGTACTAGGTACTGAAAAGTTCTGGGGATCAGGCCCAGTCAGCAGCAGCAGTACAAATTTGCATGTATGAATTTACATATGTGCTAACATCTCTCTCTGGGTGCACCTTTAAAGGAGGAGACCTCTATCTGTGAAAAGAGATGAATGGACAGAGGAGAGGAGGCTATTTGATTTCAGAAAAGAATTCAGGCAGAAGGATTTGGGGAGGGCAGAAAAAGTCAGCTAATCTAGGAGGAGTTGGATGGAAGAATGATCCTCCAGACTCCACAGCTGTGTTTCAGCAAGTGCCCATGCATAGCAGGGAGGTGGGGCAGGTGACTTCCCATTGATTTGGGACTCCAATTGAAAAGTTCAGGGCTGGAGCCCAAGTCAGCCAGCTCTTGACACTGCCTCTGCTGTTGATGCTCTCTGGACCTTCTAATTTCTGTTTTTATCAATACAATGAAGTCCTGAAAAATATTGCAATATGGAGTGCTTCCATAGGAGCTTTCCAGCTTTTTGGCTTTCCCCTCCCCAGACAATAGCCAGCATTTTATAGTTACTAAGCACCCTCAGTCCTCACTGGGCTATTTTGGGGAAGGTTCCCCAGCACCCTCCTTCAGAGCTTTTCTTAAATATGTTTTATACTTTTGCCACCCCGGAATTCTTCCTGTTGCTGATCTCTCTCTCTCTCTCTTCTGTGAGGCTGAGGCCTTTAGCTCCATAAGCCCTGGTGTTCACCACACAAAATGCAGAAATAAAAGGATTAATTCAAAAACCACAAAAGCTGCTTTATCTCCACTGAGCCGGGCCTGGTGTTTTTCCAATTATGTCTGCAGCAATTTCAATTCCAAGCAGAGAAAAGAGTATGGTCAGCTTGTGAGCTTAAGCCATGTGTGCCTAACCTGACACTCTTGGTATCCCCACCTCTCGGGAGTAGGACCCACTGCAGCAAGGCAGGAGTAGGGAACATGGGGCCTTCCAGATATTGCCAGACAACACTCCTGTCCAACCACAGCTCCCCAGCCAGCGTAATCAGTGAGGAGGGATGGTAGACATTGCAGGCCAAAACATCTGGTGAGACGCATGTTCCCAGTTCCTGCTGAAGACAGAAGCCATGGTTTCAGTTTTGCAAATTCAGCAATTATTAAGGAAAAATGGTATCAGTAGAACGCCTGCCTTCCTTAGACCCCTAAGAGAGACAGCAACCGCATTCCTGTCGGGTTGCAGTCATCTGGTATTGGCATCCCTCACGCCCGTGACTCACCATTATGGCTGTTTATTTCTAATACTCCCATCCTAAACATTGGTGTTGGCCAGCGCTATTGTCCCTGGCAGGTTGCGGCATTGTGAGACGCCGAGTTGGGTAGATGGTTCCCACGCCATATGTTTTGCATTTAGTTGCTGGCACAGCTCGTATTGGGGTTGGGATGTTACAGTACGTGCACATGTTTTATTTCGGCTGTTTTCATTTTTCTTTATGAAGCAATCATTTAAAAGCTTGTTATGGCCAGTATTTGCTTTATCAGAAAACCAAAAGTAAGTGGGACTGAATACCAGAGTATTTCTTCAATGGAGCTGCATGGGAGGGCAGTGTTATACTTGAAGGGAATTGTGCCTTATGATTTATAGCTGCAAAAATTTCAGAAGGGGTGGGGTGGGAGAGGCTTTCCTTAGCACTGGGAATAGGATTCAAGGAAAGGATTGCCAGAAGGCATTTATTTCTTTTTTGGCATAGATTTCTTTGCCCTTAAGTGTGTTTGATGGAGGAAGAGTTGAAGGCTAGAATAGTTTTGTTATATCGTGAATGAAATAGAATTTAAAGAATAATTTGTATAATTTAGAAAGTTAGTAAGCCTCACATGCTGATTACTTTATATGGCTCATGGGAACATCTGAGTTTCCAGAAGATTCAGTCTACACAGAGAGTTCTGCTTTCTGTCTCTTCTCTTTTTGATCTCTCAGCCCGGCTCAGCAGATTGCTGTGAGCTGAATGGCTTTTTCCCTGCTAGCTGGATGTGGGACACGTGAGTTGCATGGAGGGGTAAAATGGAGTCAGACTGTATGGCAGGAGTGGGGAACAGGTGCCCCTCCAGGTGTTTCTGCCCTGCAGTTCCCACAAGTTCTAATCAGCCCAACCAATGGTGGGGTGTGATGAGACTTACTCTCCAGAACAGGGTGGATAAAAATCAATGGTTTTTTAAAATTAAAAAATCAGATTTTTTTATTTAAATAGATTTTTTAAAAATGTGGATTCAATTTTTAAAAATAAAATGTTTCTTGAGGAAAACTCTTTAGCTTTCTGTTTAGGATACGTTATAATCCAAAGAGTTATTCATCATGAAATAAGGATTTAATTATGTAGCATGAGGAAATATATTCAAGCAATGTTAAAAATTTTTGGTAAATAAATTCCATTAATCCACTCACAATGTCATGCTCTTCCAGAGGTTTCCGTAAAAGTATTGGGCAGTTTTTCTGTCTGGAGGATATTATCGCAGATCCTTGGTTTTGCAGTTCTCACACCCTTAATTTGTGCCTGCAGACATCACATGCCTCTTCTTTGCAGCAGAAATGTTATAAAATAAATACAGACTTGAGAAAAATACCTTAATCTCAGTGTTCCTTTGCAAATCTATGTATACAGGAACAACCCCTTACCTCTTAAGTGCCAAGTTTCAAAAAATTCAATGAATAGTATTAGATTGTTGGGAGTGAAATAGACCTGCACAGGAAGCTAAATGGGAGGAAGGAGGGGAAGCAGTAAAAATGAAAGTGAAAGCTTTTGAGCAGCACAGCCCACAAGTCTTTGGATCTTGGGGATAACCTGAGCTTCATCATTATTATTTTTCCCTGGAGGAGAAAAGCTATAATGACAGCAGGGCATAAATGAGACCCAGTTTGGGAATAGTTTAGTGAAGTTCTTCTACTTACTGGTAAGGCAGGCATGTGTGCCAAATCATGATTTAACTCTAGTGTTACTGACAAATTATTTAAACTGTGATTTTTAAATCAAATCCACCCTACTCCAGAAACATCTGCAAGACCATATTTCCCCCTTGCTGTTCTACAGTCTAGAGGCATGTCATTTCTGATTTGCTTAGGGTGTCCACAGACCTATAGAGGACAGTCCTCCATTGGAAGGGCTGCTGAAGTCCGTGACAGGAAGGGAGGGCAAGGAGACGTCTCGGTTGCCCATCAGTAGTTAGTACTCAGGTGGCAAACTAAGTGGGTACACAAGTCACCTGGCCACAGTCATCAGGTATATTTCTATTGAAACGGTCGTAGTCGCTTCTAAATGTGTGTGTGCATGTGCACGCGTGCATGTGCAAATGGATATATGCAAACTTTATGCAGATCTGTCCCCTCCCCTCCCCTCCCCTTTGATCTAGTGTTATTTTTATTGCATTTATAGCCTAGCGTTTGCCCCTTGCAAAAGCAAGGAATCCCAGGCAGCCTATAGGGTCCTCCTCCTCTCCATTTCATCCTCACAACAACCCTGTGAGGGGGTTTGGGCTGAGAGTCAGTGACTGGACCAGTCACCCAGGGAGCTCCATGGCTGGGAACGGGGTGAGGTCTAGATCCCAGATCTTCCCAGCCCCAGCCCAGTCACCTAGCCAGGATGCCACACTGGCTCTCTGGATGACTCGCCATCCCCTTACCACCGCCTGTATTTTTTACACTTTAGCAAAAATATATCTGTGCCTGGTAAAAAATGTTCTTCCCTGGCTGTGGAGCCAGAAAGGTTGCCTGCAGCTGTGTTACAGTCAGCACTAGCTTCATAGTACTTAACGGGATAGCAAGTCTCATGCGACAGGACTGCCTTGCTGGTGACCAGCCAAGCCGACTGCGGCCCACCAGCTGGGCACTGTGGCCTGCTGATAGGCAGCAAAAGGAGAGTGCTGGTTGAACCGGCAGCAGGCTGGGCCCCTGGCATGGCTGGAGGATGAGCGTGGCTTGGTGGATCACAGTCCTGATCGATGCAGCAGATCTGGCCATGGGGGCAGCGGGGGTAGAGGCTTTGCAGATCCCACTTCATTGAAACAAGGGTGTCCTTTGCTTTCTTGTCCTCTGCGTGACACCTGCTTTCCTACTGCGGCTGTTCCTATTACAACACACTAGCTGCTTACTACCTCTTTGTGTTGCTTCCAGGACCTGCCTTCCGAAGTATGAAGGGCTCCACTTCTGGAAGGCCCTTCTGCCCATTTTTGGGGGATCCTTCCACACACCACACCTCACCCCATTTGGCCGTGACCTCTATCTGTCACATTTTCAAGGGGCTAGGAGGGTGGAAGAAATTCTTCTACCGGTGCAGTTGATCCAGCTTAGTTCTGGTTCCACCCCTTTACAATAATTTATGCAGTTGCACCATTGGTGCATTTTATCCATTTTCTTCAATGAATTTATTGGCATTCTTGAACCCATTGTTTTTCCTCTGCAGGATGTTTCTGCTTGTGGGCGCTCCGAAAGCAAACACGACCCAGCCAGGCATTGTACAAGGAGGCCAGGTGCTCAAGTGTAACTGGAACTCCAACAGAGGAGACTGCCAGCCTATCTTATTCGATCCAACAGGTAATGTCTGGTATTGTAGATGGATTTCTTCCATGTGAGGTAAAGGGATTGCTGAAGGTGAAAGGCAGTCAGTGTGGACTGCCATAGGGAAGCAGCACTGTGCTATGGCTGGGAAATTCAGTGCCCTCTAAATGTTTTGGCTCACAGCTCCCATAATATCTCATAATTGGCAACGTTCGGCAAGGCTGCAGTCTTAAATGTTTGTAGGACATGCCTAATTCCTGGCATAAACATTCAGGGCAGGCACGCCTATGCTCGCTAAGGTCAGCATTATTGTGAGCCAGGGTGGATTGATTTAAATCAGGACAATTTAGAGTAGTGGTTTAAATCTGGCTCCCACTGAAACTTTTTCCTGTTTTTCCTGAAACATGGTGCAAATCTGACCAATACACCATGATGATTTACAGTTAGATTGAGTATTATCACACTGTTTAGTGCAGGACACTGACGTAAACCATTCCTCTGAGATGACTGTCCGGTTTCATTTTGAATACCTCTAGTGTGGGAGAGCCCACCACCTCCATAAATAATTGGTTCTATTGTACTGTTCTAACAGGAATTTTTTCCTGATATCTAGCTTGGATCTGGCTTCCTGTAACTTGAGCCATCACTCCATGTCCTGCACTCCGGGACAATCAAGCAAGAAGAGATCTTGTCCTTCCTTTCTATGACAGCCATTCAGGTCCCCTCAGTCTTCTCTTCTCAGGGCTAAACATGCCCAATTATTTCAATCTATCCTCACAGGGCTTTTTTTCCAGTCCCCGGATCCACCTCACTGCCCTCCTCTGAACCCTTTCCAGCTTGACTGCTTCTTCCTTAAACTGTGGTGCCCAGAACTGGACACTGTTCTCCAGATGAGGCCTAACCAGTGCTGAGTAAAGGGGAACTAGCACTTCACAGGATTTGGAAGGGAAGTACGTATATTTCTTGCGGCCTGCACTGATAACGGTCTGAAGTAAGCAATGCAATTCTGTACATGTCTACTCAGAAATGAGTTCAGTTGAGCCCAAAGCATCTTATTGTCAGGCCAGTAGCTATAGGACTGCAACCTGAGTATGAGAATAGAGGAAGGTGCATGCTGGAATGATTTCCTTCTCTGTTCCTTTCCATTATTATGTTTTTTGTCTTAGCTCTGTTTTGGGACTGCCTTGTTCACAAAAATAAAGCAGCAACCAAAATTAAATGTCCATGACTGATAGGTCAAAGCAAACTTTGATCATTATTGGGCAGACTGGCTTTTTCCCTCAAGTGAAAATAAAGTGCCTGTGATTGGCTATGGTGTACTTTTCCCACATTTGGGAAATGATCAGAATGGTTCTTCATTGTATAGAAATGCTTCCTTTAACTCAGTCTGAATGGCAGAGGCATTTAATTCTGTCTAGAGATGAACTGTGTGGCTAGCGTGTGCATCCTGATTATATAATGTTAATGTAGTTATTATTTAAGATAAACTTTATGTTACATTTTATAAATAAATATTTTTTACATTTTTTAAAAGTGATTTTTCTGATGTTTTAAAATCATCATTTTCCCACCTTCCTATACAGGCTGTCTTAATTAGCTTTTCTGCCTTGCTTGGCCCACCTTAACCACCACAAAAGTACAGGCCAACTTTTCTGTCCAGGCTGTGAAACAGAAACTGAAAGCCTACAACTTTCAAAAAGCAAAACTGGTAGTTAGCCTGGAGGACAGAGCAATTTTCATGAGATGAAAGACTGTAATGAAGGCCTGTGTTGACTGAATTTCCTGCCTGTGCTTGGGAATGTGATGAAGCTGTTCATTCATTTTATGTGTGCATGATGGGATTTAACTGCAACCATGTGATTTTCTAAATGCAACAGAACTTTAGTTTTCTTTAATGATTTTTAAAAAATAAAAATGTGATTTAAATGTTGAGGAACCAATGTATAAATCTTAACTTCAAAAATAGCTTTTATCTGCCTTGTCTGCAGATATGTAGAAAGTAGGGATGATTTGGAATTATCATCATCACATTGTATTTCTATCTGGCCTTTTTTCCTCTTCTGAGGAACCCAAGGCAGCTTACATAACTCCATTTTTCTCCTCCATTTTTCCCTTGCAACAACAACCCTGTGAGGTAGGTTTGGTTGAGAGAGTGACTGACTCTGAGCCACCCGATGAGCTTTAGGGCCAAGTGGAGTCTAGAGCCCAGATCTTCAAAGTCCCCACTCTTACACTTTAACAAGCATACCTCTTATTGTGGATGTGAGATGTGGTTATTGTGTCAGAAGGCCAATGCATTCAGTGGCAGTGCCGGTTCTGTTCCAGAGTTCCTTGAAGATCGCCAGGAAAGCTGGAAGTAAAGTCAAGGCAGGAATGTGGATTACAACCAGAAAAATGCAGGACCTTGGATAGCTCCAAGTGGGGCTTGCTGGTTGAACTCTTCTGCTGGAACACCAGGAGACCGTGGGCTCAGCTGGTGGGCACATAACTGAAGCCTTATGTGGACGAGGCTTCTATGGTGGTCGGCTCTGTCTTTCCTGTAGGAACTCAGAGGTCCCTTGCCTGATTCCACAGCTTGAGACTTCTGCAAGTCTGAGGAGATGGAGGCTCTGTTGGGTGACCAGGGGTGGTTGGCGTGATATGCGAACCCAAAACTTTGGATGGTTGAGAGGGAACAACCCAGAGTTTTAACCCAACAACAAACCATGTGTTAAAATCGCAGTCGCAAAGCAGGAGTGAGTGTGGCATCCCACCTATGTGTGGGGAGGCCAGGAACACAAGTGATTTTAGCCAAGTAGGACAAGGTGCAAGTACCAGAAGATTAACCATCACATAATCGCAGTCAACCTGGCTTGTATGATGTAATAATTCATGGGCAGCTTGAATATGCGAAATGCTAACCAGCACGTTTCAAAGGTCTCTGTGGCTTAAGCAACCCACATTAATTGTGGGTGTTTTGATTACATGAACCAGGCCATGGAGGACTGGAAGCCCTGAGTTTTGGTAAGATTTGAACAAAGGGGTAAAAAAAACAACCTGCCTGGATCCAGCTGAGACAAGAACAAACCAAAGAGGAGGAGAATGGCCTTGAGCACTGCCAGACAGTGATTTCAGTGGGATGGATATTAGATGAACCCAAACCTAAATAGTTGGTACTTCTTAGTGATTGCAGTTCTTGAAGCTGTGCAGTCTCTGTCTGGTGAAAAAAACCTCATCAGTTATTCACATACTCAGTTTCAGGAGACACCCTAGGGGTATGGTACTTGGCATATGGAGATATTCAGATTTATTTCCTGCTTGCTGTGCTTTAAGCCAATCATGAGGCATTTGATATGGTGCAGCCTTGGTGAATTCCTATCTTTGAATCTCTTCCTGCTTACATGACTAGAAACAGGATCTTACCTAGAAGACTTGTTGCAAAATGCACTCTCTTCTTCCCCCAGCCCAAGCTCCTTGCCTTCTCTTGAAACCCGGTACCCTGCTGAACTTAAGAGGCATCAAGTTATGCCAAACAGTGCAGTGAAATGCCTCCTTTCCACTGTGTTGCATCTATTGCAAAGACAAGCCTCAGGAGCTGGGATTCAAAGAGCTGCTTTAAACCCCCCTGGCCTGCCATGAACAAGGCAGCAGAAGCAGCTGAATAAAGCACACACCACCCAGCTGTGGTTTGGTTGGTGCCACATGCAAAACAGGAACTCTGGCTTGTCTCCCCACAGAGAAACCAGAGGAGCAACCCAAGAACAAGCTGTGGGTTATTTCACTGGCTGATAACCACTTTTCATTCCTTTTGCCTGGGGAGTGGGGAAGAGTTTTGTCCAACCTCTTCTTTTTCATATTGCCTGCAACTAGGAAAGAATTAGCATATGGAAACTGCTATTAAGGGATCAAAAGAAGGACACACACACGCGCGCGCGCACACACGCCCTGTACTCCAAAGAACCATGTCCTCTGGCTTCAATCAGTTCAATCCCGAGGGTTTAAAAAGGGGAAGAGAAATAGGTAGGCTGAGATTGGTTGGATGCAGCAGGGCACAAGTGCAGTTAGTTCCACTTTCTTTTGTCTGAGTGCTGATATTTCCAGATGGAGTAATTCTGCAGCTTGGATTACAGCTCAGATATGTGTTAATAGGGTTTTAAAATAATAGGAATGGCCTTCAGCAGGCAACACAGCCTTATTCTTGTCTAGCTCTTATGTGGGTAGGCCAACAATAGAAAGCTTTGTTTGAGCGCCTATACTGCTGGTCAGGCATGGACGTTTCTGTGACCCATTTAGCACCCGGCATATTTCAAGAGCCTCGTGCAGCTCCATCGCTTTCAACATTCTCCAGCTCAGGAACTGCTGCCATTGAGAAGTCATGCAGAAAATGTGTGTCAGGGGTCTGGGAAAGGGGAAATTGGCGAGGAGCTGCACTCGGTGGAATAAGCTGGCAAAAAACGAGGTGTTGAAGCGATCCAAAGAGTTATTGTTAAAGGGCTGCGTTTGGGGGTCACAGGAAGGTCCGTTGCCTATTTATAGGTTACTCTAAAAATGTTGTCCTGCCAACCAGATGATTGAAGATTCCTGTGGCAGCCAACAGCAAATTCGAACACTAAATAAACAGACCTAATGAAAGCCTTTTGCAGTCTGCACAGTGCAATTCTGTATGGGTCTACTCTATAAGGGAAGAGTTTGCTGTAAAGGAATTGCAGAAGGATGTTTTATAATGAAGATTGCGGGGACTCGAAACAAAAGACAAAACACAGTTTTGGGCAGAGTGATACCAAGTACCTCTTAGCATAAACATAGTCATGACGTGATGGTGAGCTGGTTGGACTGACGACCTGGGAGATCTGGCTTCTAGTCTCCATTTCACCATGAGGCTCACTGGGTGACTTTGGGCCAGCCATGCCCTCTCAGCCTGGCCTACCTGACAGGGTTGTTGTGAGGACAGAAAGGAACTATGTAGCCTGTGTTGGGTTCCTCACAGGAGGAAAAAAGGTGAGGTATAAATGCAAGGTAATACTTCTTTATTAGTTTAATATCCTGCCTTTTTTCTG